ATTGTATAGCAAATCTCATTTTTGAGTAAGACTAAAGAAATAAGAGAACTGAATCCGAAATTACTATCGTGTTAGTTTTCAACGCAATGAGAAGACCAGTGAATGGTTAAATTTCAACCTCAGCTAGTAAGTATGTCTCTCTAAATGTATACAACTGTTTCGAGAAAAATTGTCTGAAAAAGCTTTTAAGTCCACGCGACAAGCCCGTAAGTATTGTGGGTAATTTCCAGATCACCGTTAATTGGCCTCAGGATTTCTGGGAAATATGAGAAAACGTCACATTAAGGACGAGGCATGGCGGGTTTGATGAATATATTTAATCAGTTGACTTATTAAAATTAATTAATTATTGGTACCCAGTAACCCAACGACCTTCTTCGGACCAGCTGTCTTTGCAGCCACTCTGTATTTATTAATGTTGAACTTACGTTTCAAACGCGGACTGAATGTCCATCCAATCCACATCAAACTCTTCCACGCATCCAGACTCGTACAGGCTAAGAAATAGAGTATATCTGTCAGCAAATAAAACTTTATGAACTCAACAAAGTACTGGTGTGCAAGCTTCTCAACTGAGTCAGCCTTTCAAACGATCAGTTTATGTCCATCCAACTCACATCGCACTCTTTCCCGACTTCAGGCTCAAACAGGTTAGAAAATACAACGTGTCTGTTTGCAATATAAAATTTTGTACGAGCTTTTGATCGAGTCTGCGGTTCGAACGCAGACTTAATGTCTGTCCAGCCTTCACCAAACTCTTCCACGACTTCAGAGTCATACAGGCTTAGAAATACTAGAATTTCAGACAAATTGATCGGATCAGCGAATTCGAAACGAAGCCCGAGCGCAGTATGAGTTACTAGAGCAAGGAGAAACTTTCTTCTTCATTTTGTGACAAAGTTTAGATCATGAAATATCTGACTCTCTGTATTTTTCGAATGAGTCAGTGATTATTCTCCTAACCTTGTTACAAGTTTGATGTCATCACTTCTCCTCCATCTCTGGACCTTCTTGTCATTCATACTCCAGCAGAGCTTGTCCAACCTTAAGAGGAGAAAGCAAATTTCTCACATCGGATCTCTTATCAAAAACATTACTCTATTAAAACAGATAGCTTTTTTTTTACCGACAATCGTGAAACCGGAACCAAGAGTATCGAAACAACGACCAACAGAACGAAGGTTTTTTTCAGGTCTGATTTTCACTATTGCTTTTTTTCAGGTCTGATTTTCACTATTGCTTTTTTCCAGGTCTGATTTTCACTATTGCTTAAATAGTGCTCTTTACGGCGAGGATCGTGCACATATACGTTTCTATAACTGCAGTTCAGATATATGAACTTCATATATTCGTTGTCTTTGATTTATCATCTTACGGGTTATGTCGGACTAATTTGATGACCTGCTCCTAGTTGACTTGTTAGCTCAATTGGTAGAGCGCTGCACTAGTATCGTAGAGGTAAGTGGTTCGAATCTCGTACAGGTCTGA